TTAAATTATGGAAAATTAAAATGGTGACAGCCTGTTCAGGTATAGAGAGAAAGATCCTTAATGGAATCTCTGAGGACAATAGCCCCTATATGAAATGGTAACTCCAGTGTATACATAAATCTTCTATCCAACCGCAGCAAAAGCAAAGATAAATACACTTGCATGAGATTTCATGCAAAAGAAATACTGAGAAAACTTGACAGAATCACCCATGTCCTCTCCCACATTGTACAGAGCATCACTCACTTTAAAAGCCTTCACTTTACATACTGACCAAGCTCCCATGTGTAATGAAGCACCACTCAGTGGTCCCTACCTGGACTCTGAAGTTGAGGAATAACTCTTCCTTCCACCATCCACAGCATTTCTTTGTCCACTGAAAGAAAATTTAGATCTGATTCGCAGAGCTGGTATCCTGTTCAGGGAAAAGGAAGCAAGCACGTTTTTATTTTTGTGGCAACAAAAATATTTTGATCAAGTACATGGGATGCAATTGAGAAGAAATAAGGAGGTAGAAGTTAGACCTAGGAAATATGTTCAGAAAACATCACTGAGTGAATTTGTGAATATTAAATGGAAATCTAGAATGTGTACCAAAAAAGGATTCTCTGTCAGGATTCTTATATTCATTCCTCTTTTTAAATAAAATGCAGAATTATCAATATTTCAAAAATAATAAAATACATATGTCCATGGTAAAATGAATACTATTTAAATAGAATCTGACACAAACATTTCAAGAATACTCACATTACATTTATTTTCATGTCCGGCTCAAAACTTAACATGCTGAGTTTAAAATAATACTTTTCCAATAATTTAGTGAATTTCTAATTTTGAAAACATTCATTTAATACACAGTTTTACTCTGGGTTTTGCAGATTTGCTTGCAATAAAGGCATGAAATATTGATCAAATCAACATTCAAGGTTGTTAAAAACATCTTGTAAATGAATGTGATTTAAAACTCTCTTTCATGAAAGTGTAAGGTTTATAAACAAATTCAGACACAGAGTTATTTGGGTATGCATCACACATTCTAGAAAACTAATGCTAGAAAACTTGCATGACTGAATATAGATAGAGACAATGGTGGACTCACCAAGGGATAGGAGATGATTAATGTTTTCCACCATCACAGTTCTGTACAGCTCTCTCTGAGGTGTGTCCAGTAGGGCCCATTCCTCTGGGGTGAATTTTATGCTCACATCTTCAATGGTCAGTAACTTCTAGAAGATCATAGACACTACACTTTAGATAGAGGAATAGCGACAAAGTTCTTTCCATGAAAACTCAGATTATAGCCCAGAGGCAGAGGA